TCTTTTTCTACAAATGTGCAAAAATTTAGACTTGCTAGGGGAAATTGAAGCGCCGGAAGTTTGCGACCAGGAGAAGATTTTGGAAAGGATATCGGAGAAGGTTCTTTGAACTGCTGCTTGATCAGTGTGTTTGGAATACAYCAGAACATCGTCAGCGTACAGTTGGTGCTCTGTAGTGGTAAATTTAGACAGTAATTCGCTAAGTTGATCAAACGCTATATATCACTCACGCATATTTGGGTATGAGAAAGCTCTGTGGAAAGTGGGTGCTCACTTTTGACCAAAAACAATGACGAGTTGATGATTCGGAGCAGTGTTTGAAAATGTTTGGGAAGCGTCTGGAATAATGTTTATTACCTACATTGCAAAAGGAAGGACCATCAACTGCTACTATTACGTAACGTTGTAAGACAAAAATATCCGAAAAACGCACGGATTTGAAGAAAACGAAACCACTCTTTCACCACGCCAATGCAAAGTGTCACAGATCAAAGAAAACGAAGGCACAAATCGCATCAAAACAATTGTATCAAAAAGTTGTATGAGTATATATAATGAGTGTATCGTCCTTGAAAGGAGCTATGAATTTTGATTAAAAGAACAATTTTTTCCAGAAGAAAATAACTACTTAGGCCGGCAACTTTCCTGACCTGTATCTTCAACCCCGTTATCATCTTAAAGATCTTTAAATGATGGTACACAAAGACATATTTGTTAGTCTTAACTTGAATACAAATAGAGGGAGCGAGATTTAGATAAAATCGTTTTAATTCTCCAACTTATTGGAAACGAAGCCAGGGGTCTCCGGCTATTGGTCCCAGAATCGACACACACCACCTCTTTGTCGATTTCAAAGCTGCTGTCGATAGCACAAAAAGGAGCTGCCTTTATGCCGCGATGTCTGAATTTGGTATCCTCGCAAAACTAATACGGCTGTGTAAACTGACGTTGAGCAACAACAAAAGCTCCGTCAGAGAGAAAACAAGGTTTCAGATAAGGCGACTCCCTATCATGCGAATTTTTCAAAATGTCAGCCTGGAAATCCAACGCAGGATAGCCTTGCCAACACGTGCTACTTCGGACTGAGTAGGCAATTGAGAACAAAGTCCTCTCTCGACGAACAAAAACAAACTCTTCGAGAGAAAAGTTCTGCGAAAGACTTATGTTCCTTTGCGCGTTGGCCACGGCTCTATTAGATATATGACGACATTCACAAGGTTCAGCGAATTAAGAGACAGCGGCTACGCTGGTTAGGTCATGTTGTCCGAATGGACGAAAACACTCCAGCTCTGAAAGTATTCGCGCTGCACCTGCCGGGGGAAGTAGAGGAAGAGGAAGACCTCCACTCCGTTGGAAGGATCGGGTGGAGAAGGACCTGGCTACGCCTGGAATATCCACTTGGCGCCACGTAGCGGAAAGAAGAAACGACTGGCGCGTTGTTGTTAACTCGGCTATAATCGCGTAAGCGGTGTTTACGCCCATTAAGAAGAAGAATCGGTTATGTACAAGATAATAAGCACGCTCACAAAACTTGGAGATTTGCAAAATTTTCTGGAGAAAATTAGTAGATAGTACAATATTATTGAGCAAGCGAAAGCAATGAATCGTATAACGGCAACAAAAAAGCCAACGAAGCAATCTTGGAAGACATTATCGACGCAGCGATTGACAGCTAGCAAAGCCAATAGGCGTTCAACGGCGTAAAGGAAAAAAGAAAAATGTACAAAAATCTTGGCAAAAACACCATCAATTGTCCTCACAAGAACGTGAAGAATACCTACCGCTATGATAGCAAACATACGCCGTTTTGTTTGGTTTACTTGTCAAACTTGCAACGTAGGTACTTGGTTGCCCACACAGGCAGAGAGGAGTGAGGGACAACGGGCATGGAAGGCAATGTAATGAGTCCTAAAGTTGCTTGTTGGCAGTTCGCTTCTGGCTCGAGTTTTGGCTGATTTCGTGCGTGATGTCTCCCGACTGGTTAGTTGATTGTTTGCTTTCGGCATTGCGTTGGCGTTAAAGCGGAAACGGAAGTTAAAACTTCAACGTAAATATTCATATACCCACACACTATGGGAATAAGCAGCGAGCAGTGCAAAACGTCAGCAAAAATGTCCAACAAACTGCAGGCGAGGCTGTGCAAGAGCCCTGAGAGACGATGTATGTATAAGCGATGTGTACCTGTTTTAAGCGGAAGAAAGTGGTGCGGCTCATGCCACCGCGGACCACCTAGCATGTCTAAACAATGAAAGTTGGCAACTTTTTCAGCTTGCTGCTGCTGGTACCACAGACGTTACACATCTCGTGCGGTCTCGGAGGACAGTTTGAAGTCGCTGCTAACTCTGCCACAATGGAGCAATGCATGCACGTACGTGTGTTTACATTACAACATGAGTTCTCCTGTTCTTGTAGCAGCTTACAGGCATTTGTACGTGAGTGTGACGTTCGTATGTTCACGTGTGGGTGGACTGTTTTGCGATTTGTGTTGACGGTGGTTGATAAAAACTGAGTTGAGAAACATCTAAACTAAATCAAACCCAGGCTGCTGAAATGGAATATGTGTCGTTCTTTTTTATTGTTTTTAAAGATTTGGCCGAGTATACTATGGGTAAATTTGGAGGTATGGCTTTCTTTCGACTGAAAAATAAACCATCCTACGCATACCCTCACTGCCACGAAGTTTGCAACATCTAAGCTGTGTAAATCGACGTTTAGCAAAACCAAAAGCTCTGTCAGGATCGGGATACACCTTTCCGAGCCGTTCGATGCCAAACGAGACTTCCGACAAAGCGACTTTTTGCCATTCGATTTCTACAATCTACTTCTGAAGAGAATACTTCGAGCTGCAGAGCAAAATAGATAAGGTTCAACTATACAACTGCTAGAGTATGCCGATGAGATCGACATCACTGGACATAGTGACCGCGTCGTTAGTTCCGCATTCTCCACATCCACATTTGACAAAGCAGTGAAGTAAATGGGTCTT